CTTTGACCCCTCTGAAGATAGATGCAAACAAAGATGAAACAACCAGTCTCCTGCGTAGATGGGAACTTGGGGGAGGGGTCACAGAGGTCTTCCATGACTGAATTTCTTTGTCAAGGAAAAGGACATTAGTTATGAACTTGAGTTTTTGAGTTACTGCCTGTAGTTCCATACACTGGAACAGTAACATTGACAAGCCTACACCAAAGAGCTCCGGGCACAACCAATTTCACTCTAAAACAGTGGTCCCCAACTGTTTTCAGTGTGGGGGCAGCCTTTGGAATTCTGACACAACATGGTGGGTGCAGCCACAAAATGGCTGCCATAGGAGGCAGAGCCAGCCACAAAATGGCTGCCACAGCTTACCTTCAGTCACACAGGAAAGATGCTTGTGTTGTTGTGGTTGTGGCAACTGCTGCCAAAGCAACGTTTTTAAAAATCTGTACAGCCAGTCAAATCTCCAATGGCCAATGAGAAGCCCCAGCTGGCCCCGCCCACTTTCTAAAAGCCCTTGGCATGAACCAGGAGACGTGTCAGTGAGTGCCAGGGTACTCACGGGCACCATGTTGGGGACTCCTGCTTTGAAAGAAAACTTTACATTTTGGATTTTTTTTTAAAAGGCTAGGAACACATATGTGGATTTGCACCCACCCTTTCATGTACTGGCAGGGGGATTCTCTTTTTTAAAAAGTTTAAAACAGTTCTAAAATGGCACTAGGCATTTGGGGGGGGGCGTATGCAGAGGAGGGGGAATGGAAGCCTGCAGACAGACAGTAAATATAAAAGTGGTAAGAGGGAGGCCTCATTGCCTGCGGTGCGCATATTTATCCTGCCATCTCTTTTCCCGGGGGTTTTGTAGGCCTTCAAAGACTTTGCAGAACCCATTTTGCCAACGATAACAGTGAGTCAAAGAAAATGACTGTGTATTGCTTGGGAAACAATGCCTCTAAAATACCGCATTTCGCTCTCTCAAAAGCTATTGTCTGCCTCCAACATAACCTGTCAAGGGTGCGAACCGTTAGGAGCAGATGCCACGCAGCAGTGTTGCTGCGCTGAGTAACAGGGCTCTGAAGCTGACCTGGGACTCTTCAGTGACCAGATCCACAATGGCGGGTGAGACGCCTTTAAAGGCAACCTGCCGGCCCCTTGCTGATCTTCTGCTTCAGTGTTAGGAGCAGGGAAACACTTTTGCCTCTTCTGAGACACACGTCTGCACCATGCAGTATGATGAATCCCAAAAGGCCTAGCTAGCAGCTGCTATGAACTAAAAGCGGAACCTCAGAATACATCCCAAAATCTTTTATGATATGTAGAAAATCCATGTCAGGTGTTTAGGATTTCTCTAGCAAACAAGTCAATATAGTGGAGGATGGTAAAGTGTGTGGGGGGGGAGTTGGTTCTGCAGAACCAGTAACTTTGAGAGTGAGGGTGGCATGATGGTGATCGGCATGTTAGACCTAGACCAGGGGGATCTGGTCTAAACCTAGACTCTGTCATGAAACTCAGGGAGACAGTTGTTCTTTCTACGTCAGGCCATCTGCATAGAATATGTTGCCAAAGGCTTTCACGGCCAGAGTTCATTAGCTGTTGTAGATTTTCTGGGTTGTCCAGCCGTGGGCTTTGCATGTCTTGGCATTGTAGGACCTGACGTTTCACCAGTACTGGCAAAATATCAGGTCCTACAATGCCAAGACCACGGCCAGACAACCCAGAAAATCTACAAAAGCATCTGCATAGCATTGTTGTGAGGATGACCTAGAAGAACGTCAGCCAGTGCATGAGCTGCTTACGGGAAAGATGGGATAAACATGGGACAGATTCCTAAATTTGCACTAGAATTCGCATCCGTATTCTGCTAAGAAGGAAGTGCAGATGGTTTTAGTTGTCTGGGGTGGGGAAAAGCTGGTAGATTTAAAATGGCCCGTCAGATCCACCTGTGGCGGGACATTTCCCAGGCCGGCTCCTGGCTTGAATACCACAGCCTCCTACTTCAATCACAGCCACTGTTTCCACTCCTCCCTTCTCTTTTTTCACCCTCCAAATTGCAGCAATTCACTACTGGCTTGCCCTGCCAACCACACGACTGATTGAAATGTCAGAGGTAACAGCCTCCTTGTCCCCCAGGGACAGGCCTCCTTGGGAGCCACCTTGACAGACCTGACTTCCATCTCCCATTTTCTCATATTTCTCTCCAGCCAGCCATCGCAGATCTCCCTCACATGGAAAATGCACAGTGCCCCAGTGTGGGCCTTGTGCCACATAGCAGGTTTCCTTTCATACAAAAGAAGGGGCAAATTAGGGAAACCAAAAGTGCTTCAGGACATTTGCTTGGGCAGCTGCTGCTATTTGTTATTTCTAAGGATTCCATTCTGATTCCAGAGGGTCCATCTGTGCAGTTTCTGGCTTCAGATGTCTTCCCAGAGTTGGGAATTCTACAAAGCTATCAACGCAACTAGTAGAATAGTGCTACTCTTGTTCTGAGTTCTGGCCAGACTATGAGTCTGTAGGGAGTTAAGTAAGGTCTAAAGGTAACTGAGTTTTAGCAGGACTTATTGAGCAACAGAAGCTGCAATGGGTTTCGAAGTACAGGCTACTGGTTTACGGTAAGAGGGAGGCTCTTCAGGACCCAGGAGAGCTCCCTGGAAAGAGAGATGCTGACCAAACAAGGCCCCAAACTCACAGAGGTCTTACTGGAGGTTTCAGCTTGGTTCAGAGATAGAGTATCTGCTTTGCATGAACAAAGTCACATGTTCAGTCCCTGACACCTCCAGTTAAAAGATCTCAGGTATCAGAAGATCCTTCTCTGCCTCAGACTCTGGAGAATTGCTGGTTCACTTAGCTATGACCTATGAGAGCCGGCTCGGTGTAGAGGTTAAGAGCGGCGGACTCTACTCTGAAGAACCAGGCTTGATTCCTCACTTCCCCTCATTAAGCCTGCTGGGTGACCTTGGGCCAGTCATGGTTCTCTCAGAACTCTCTTGGCCTCACCTACCTCACAAGGTGACTGTTGTGGGGAGAGGAAGGGAAAGCCACTTTGAGACTCCCTAAAGTAGAGAAAATCAGGGTATAAAAAGCTACTCTTCTTCTTTTGTGGAGAAGCAAACTCCAGAGGACAGCGGAAGACAGGAGGGCCTGGCGTGATGTGGTCCATGGGGTCGCAAAGGGTTGGACTCGACTGTGCGACTGAACAACAACATGATCTAGCTGCTGTGATCCACACTCTTATCACCGTTTGTTTACTTTAATGCACTGTGCATAGGACCACCCTTGAAGAAGGCCCAGAGGTTTCAGGGTCTTTTGTGACCAAAAAGGTTCTGATCTGAGGTTTTTGCTAATCCTGGAAGCTTTATGAGGGGAGGAGCTGTCAAGCCCCATCAAGCCATAAACAGCAAGATGCACCAACCCACCAGCTGCACAGCTACTGTTTACACACCGTAATAGTGAGTTGTGAATACATTTCCTTTTTAAAGGCAGATAAAGAATAACAAATGAAATGGCCACTCTAAACAGTAGGAATCTGTCTGAAACAACTGTCTTCTGTTGTTGTTCTCCTCTAAAAGTCCATATTAATTCCTGACCCTTTGCTTCCGGTTATGTTAATGAGGTTCATCTGTGTACCTCGCCTTAGTGTGAAGTGTGCTGGTTGCTAGGCATGCAAATAGGTCTGAGGTGAGGCTGGGGTTTGCTACAATGGATGATGATGTCACAGAGGCATTGGTGACTCCCTGCAGCAGGGGGAAAACAGTCACATTCTCCTACGTGGTCCTAAATGGTTAGGGCACCTATATGCTCAAGGTAAAGGTAAAGGTAAAGGTCCCCTTGCTCAAAAGCCAGTCGAATCCGACTCTAGGGTTGCGGTGCTCATCTCCGTGTAAAGGTAAAGGTTCCCTTGCTCGAAAGCCAGTCGAATCCGACTCTAGGGTTGCGGTGCTCATCTCCGTTTCCAAGCCGAAGAGCCAGCGCTGTCCGAAGACATTTCCGTGGTCATGTGGCCGGCATGACTAAACACCAAGGCGCATGGAACGCTGTTACCTTCCCACCGAAGTGGTCCCTATTTATCTACTTGCAATTTCTTGCTTTCGAACTGCTAGGTTGGCAGGAGCTGGAACTAGAGACAGGAGCTCACCCTGTCTTGCGGCACCCGGGTCTTGAACCACTGAACTACTGACCTTCCACAGCCTGCAGTTCAGCGTCTTAACCACTTGAGCCACCGCAGCTCCTTATATGCTCCTTATATGCTCAAGCACGCCACTAAATCTGACCGAGGGCCAGCATCAGAGATGGACTGGCTATTTAACTTCCGGGGAGTGTTCCCAGGGGGCCTTTGCCCTGGAGGGCCGGTGGCAGCCAGAATTCAGCCAAGCCAAGGAGCCCCTGTTGTGCCACCAGCACTGAAGGAACCGGGCTCCAGACCTGTTTGATCCTAAACCACCCTGTCCAGCATTGTGGGTCAGCACAGTAAGGCCCCTGCCAAGGTCTATGACCTGCTGGAGGCCCCAACCCTGCACCTGCAGCCAACAAAGGAAGCTGAGCACAAGAGAACCGTCGCTCGCTGCCTCCCCCAAGTACCTCTCCCAGTAAGCCACAGTGCCCCCGCAACACAACCGTGAGACTGCTTTTAGACCAGCAAAGTGACACTGTTCCTAGCAAAGAAGTCACCATGAGGGAGGGAGCCAGGAAAGAGCTATAATGGGGGGGGGGGTTAGGAATGGAGATGCAATGGAGGGGTGGGGGCTACGGACACCCTGTGACCACATACAAAAAAGGGGATGGCATTAAAGTGCAAAACCTCTGTTGTTCTGGATCAAGACCTCCTGGGGTCGGATAAATGGCTCAGAGGCCGCAACCCACCGCAGGGCTGCCCACCTGTCGGCTATCCCTGGCGAGGTGGGCGGGGGAACGATCTTGGCAGATGATTCTTAAAAGCGACTGCCTTCTGTAGCTCAATGCAGAAGTGAAAAGGGGAGAAACGGGGTGGGGGGAGTGGGGGTTGCATGACATACCATTGTACACCAGTTCTGCGAATTTCAAGGCGAGGCCCTGCTTGACTCTCCGCACTTCCCGGTCCAGAGCGAAGGCCTCAATGTCTAAATGAGCATGGTAGAGGATCGTCCCCGCTGGGGTCTCGTAGATACCTAGCCATTTCGCCAGGCAGGGGAAGAAAGGAAGAGGGGGGGAGAGAGAGAGGGAGAGGGAGAGAAGAATGAATGAGACCCAAACTGTCAGGAAATGACAAAAAATAATGATTTGGCTGACAGAAGGAGCCGTGGTCCCGGCTCCATTCAGTCTCAGCTTGCCATAAAATGCATCTGTCATTATAGTCCTGCTGGGGCCGAGACAGTCCACTCCGCACCTTGTGGAGAAAATTTCTAGATTCCCCTCTTTGAAGAGGCACTCCAACGAGGCTAAATGACAGGGTTTAGGAGCCGATCCCCCCACAGGCGCGTGCCCACCGGTCTGAGGCTGAAAACCTGTAATTAAATGAGCCACGCAGGGCAAAGTCATGGGGGTCTGGAAAAATCCTCCCCTTCTACTTCCCCTCCCCACATCTTGCACCGAGGAAGGGGGGGGGATCCCTCACATCAGCTGTGCAGAATGGAGACTACCTGGGGACGGGGGAATTGCAGTGTACCTTCACTGTCAACCTAACACCACCACCACCCCATATCCGATCCTCGCTGCCAACCACAACTTGAACCATTGCCGAATTTAGCAAACAGTCAATAGCAGCTCGTCGAATTGTTTTTGGATAACTGAGCCCTGGGCCAGCAACTGCTGAGACTTGGCTGGAATGGAGGCAGGAGTGATGGGGAACGACTCGACCGAACCGGTCTGGTTCCTTCTCCACCTTCCCTTGGGGTTTTTATTGTCGGACTATGTACGTGACATCCACCCGTGTGCTGGTGCCGATTGACTCCTGGTTACATGAGATCACGCCTTGGGGAAGGGACCGCCTCTTCCCATATACACCTCGAAGAGCGTTATGCTCTAAAAATCAACACCTCCTGGTGGTCCCTGGCCCGAGGGAGGTCTGTCTTGCCTCGGCCAGGGCCAGGGCTTTCTCTCTCCTGGCCCCAGCCTGGTGGAACGTGCTCCCTATTGAGGCCGGGGCCCTGCGGGATCTTCTTTAATTCCGCAGGGCCTGCAAGATGGAGCTCTTCCGCCGGGCCTGTGGCTGAGGCAGCGGGGGCCCACAGAGGGCCTCCCTGAGGTTGCTGTCACCTGCCTGCCTGCTGACAACTGGCCCTTATTTCACCTGTACCATCGGGCCAGAACTTTATAGCCAGCTGATGCTGTTTAAAGCTGTACCCGTTGCTTTAACGGTTAGAACGTTTTAACGTGTTTTAAACCGAAATTGTATTTATTATAATGATGTTACCCGCCCCGAGCCCTCTCGCAGGATGGGTAGGATATAAATGCAAATAATAAATAAATAAAGACTAAGTAGAATGCAGACTCTCCCTGAACCTCTTCTCAAGGAGAGGGCATGCAAATAGAAAAGGGGCTGCTGAATTCGAGTCCAGTCAGCATCTGATGAAGGGAGCTTTGACACTCAAAAGCTTCTCTACCCCCCAAACCTTGCTGGTACCCATTGGTGCTGCTGGACAAGAATCGGGCAGTTCTAGTGCAGACCCAGACGGCTGTCTCTCCTTCCCCCCCCCCCACAATGGATTGCTGTTTCCCTGCAAGGGAAAGGGGTTCACAGTTCTCTAGCGAAACAGAGTGACCTGTGGATGACCCCCTGTACAGTTCTGGTGGTCCCCCTATTGAAAAGGATAACACTAAGTAGGGAGAAGTCCTAAAAAAGAAAGCTGATCAGGAAATTGGGTCAGCCTTCTGTATGAGGGAAGGCAGGAGTACTGAGGGTTCTCGAATCATTTTCCTAATGAATGAAAAGAGATCACAAAAGAAGTTTATGAAGTTATGAATCTTGCAACGACAGTGGAAAGAGAGAATTATTTCCTCCTTCTCTCATGGCTCCAGAACTCAGTGTCACACGATGAACATCACAGGCACCACAAACCGACTGCTTCTTCCCTGGACACGTCATGAAGTTAGAGTAGTCATTACTGCAAGATGTGCTCAGGCTGCTAATGTAGATTGCTTCAAGCGGGGCGGGGGGGAGAGAAATCCAGCTCTGACCTGGAGGGCCCAGCCTAGCCTGATCTTGTCAGATCTCAGAATCTAAGCCTGGTCGGCCCTGGTTAGTAGTAGTGGTGGGAGACCACCAAGGAAGTCCAGAGGCAGACAACGGCAAACCACCTCTGTTCCTCTTACCTTGAAAACCTGACCAGGTTGCCATAAGCTGATGAAGAAGAAGCAGAAGCAGAAGCAGAAGCAGAAGAAGAAGAAGAAGAAGAAGAAGAAGAAGAAGAAGAGGAGGAGGAGATTGGATTTTTTTATACCCCGCCCTTCACTACCCAAGGGAGTCTCAGAGTGGCTTACAAACTCCTTTCCCTTCCCCTCCCAACAACAGTCACCCTGTGAGGTAGGCGGGGCTGAGAGAGCTCTGACAGGAACTGTCCTTGAGAGAACAGCTCTGACAGAACAACGGCTTGCCCAAGGTCATCCAGCAGCTGCAAGTGGAGGAGTGGGGAATCAAACCCGGTTCTCCCAGATTAAAGTCCGCGCACTTAATCACTGCACCAAACTGGCTCTTTCCACCACCACCATGACAAGTTCATGGAGGACAGATCTAGCAATGGCTATTAGCCAGGCTCGGAGGCAGTATGGTCCTGAATACCAGACGCTAGGCAGGGGCAGACTGGCCCAGGAGTGCCTCTGGTGGCCAGCAAATAGCTCAGTTAAGCAGCAAGCAATGAGCTGACCCACCAGGTTAAAACACACCCACTGTCCCTGTTGCCACCCACAACCTGTGAGCCAGCCAAGAGGCCCCTGTAGGGCTGCCTTCCCTGCAAAGGCCATGGGGAGGGGGGTCAGCTCGCTCCATGGCTGTTTTAGTGTCCTAATCAGTCAATGATGCCAAGGGCAAGTCCAAGGAGGGGGCTGTCTCCTTCATCCCTTGCCCGTGAGCTTCCATCTAGCCAATCCTGGAAAGAAGATGGGTATGGAAGCCCAAAGTAAGTAAAGAAGAGGGAGAGGGTAGACACCTTGGAAGAAAGCTCCCAATCATGTTATTTTGCACTGTACATTTTATGACGACCTTTGCACTGTATTTTTAGAGACTTTCCTGCTGCCTTAGGAGGGTCGATCTGAGGACCTTTATACTTTTAGCCTCAAATAAGAGCGAAATCATTGAATCTGTAGCGAAATTCCCCTACCCGGCCTCTAGGAGGAGATGTTCTTTCTGACCACAGATTCTAGCGTGTTTTATTTGGAGTTTTGCTGTTATGCCAATAAAGGTCTGTGTGTGTGAAAGAAAGTTACCTCCCATATGGTAGAGACTGAACCCCACTTCATGGCCCACACCATCCATGTTTAGATGGGAAATCACTTGGACACCCCAAAACCTGGTGGCCATCAGATCGGACTCATCGGTTTTCATGATATAAAGAAGTCAGTGGGAATAACTCTTTACCAAGAAGAATGAGGAGGAGGAGAGGGAGAAGAAGAAGAAGAAGAAGAAGAAGAAGAAGAAGAAGAAGAAGAAGAAGAAGAAGAAGAAGAAGAAGAAGAGGAGGAGGAGGAGGAGGAGGAGGAGATTGGATTTATACCTCGCCCTTCACTACCCAAAGGTGTCTCAGAGCGGTTTACAAACTCCTTTCCCTTCCCCTTCCCACAACTGACACCCTGTGGAGGCAGGTGGGGCTGAGAGAGCTCTGACAGAAACTGCTCTTTTCAAGAACAGCTCTTATCAGAACTACGGCTTGCCCAAGGTCATCCAGCAGGTGCAAGTGGAGGAGTGGGGAATCAGACCTGGTTTTCCCAGATTAGAGTCCGCGCACTTAACCACGACACCAAACTGGCTCTGGATTTAATAATGAAGGATTAATATAATAACCTATAGCCACAACATAGTGCATAAATCAATACTTCATAAATACATAATAAATATCCCATACAAAGTGTCTAAATCGTATACAAAGTTCTTGCCTAATTATTTATGCTTTATGAAAAGCACAATTCCCAGACTATGGTCTTTATAGTTGCTGTAAATAATACACGGGTGTTGGATTCCAAACGATGTATGCCACTCCTTTAAGTAGTCTGCCAAATTTCACAGCTAGCAATGTAAGGTAACCACGCTAAACCATCAGAGCTGACCCTTCAGTTTTCATAGCAGCAGAATTATCAGGGAGTTCAAAACTGAAAATATTCCTTGGTCTAGTCGTCGCACTGGCAAGGCTTCCCAGACCATAAAGCCAAAAATGCTGGCATACGTGGGGGAATCCGTACTGGAGAGAAGACTCGCTGCGAGAATGGCACTGCAGGGGAGAAGGATGGGGAATGAGGAAAAGGCCAGCGAAGCAACCCCACCCCAGCTGAGGCCCTTCTCCCTCCATCTCTTTCTTCACCGGATTACAATTTTCAGCCAAGGTTAAGTGACAGGCCGGAGGCCACAAGGCAGACCAGTGACTGAGGAGTAGGTGTGTGCGTGCAGGGGAATATGTTTTACAAGCCTGCCTGCTTGCCCACTTTGCAATACTGAACATAAATCCCAGAGGGGCGGAAATGCTGAACCTGAAAGGCTCCGAGGCAAGATGAGAAGTTTCAGTTCCATAACGCCATGCAACAACCTTCATCCATTCCAATTAATCTGTCTGCTCCTTTCCTCAGAAGGTGTTAAAGTTAATTTGGGCTGACAAAAAGCCTGGTTTTGTGTGTGTGTGTGTGTGTGTGAGCTTTCATCCACCCTGGGCCCCCCTCCTTTCCTTACACTTTACTCTGAAAGCAAAAAAGCACATGGAATAGATTATTCCCCTCTGTATGTCTTTTCCTCCCCCCTTTTGTCTTTCTCTTTATATAATATTTTTGTTTGATTTGTGACAGGAACCTGAAGCTAAAAAGACTGTTGCTCTGGAAGCCTTTTTCCCCCTTGACAGTCAAAGTACGAACCACCGCGTGAAGGGGAGAGGAAAATGACAGGCGCTCTTCCCGCATTACAGCGCAGGAGACAAGAGACACCTTCAAAGTGACACTCATGCCGTCTCCAAGTGTCTATTTTCATCTCCCC